GGTTTTAGTCTTAACCCTTGGAGAAAACCTACATGGTTTAAAATTGTTTACGAGCACGGCACATAGCTTGTCTTACAATTGTTCAACAAATATGTGCCAAAGTCCAAATTGTAGATAATTTCTCCCGAATATCATTTTCAAAAATGATTCTCACATTTATGTGATGTCATTTTTTAAGTGATATTATTGATTCTAAAATATCTTCTACAAGTATTCCACTCTTGTGTGCACGAATTTAGGGGGAGGTTACTCTACAAGTTGGATGCTTTGAGACTAACACCTTTTCAAGCTTATCATGTGTGTAGTAGTCTCATTGCAAGGAAAATGGAGTCCCCAGAGTTAAGCATCATACTTAAAATATCCACCACCTATTGCAAGTGATAGAAATCAAATTGGTTTCCACATGTGGTATTTCTAAACCAATATCATCATGTTGATTTTATTTTGACATTTATATGCTTTCTCCATGCATTATATAGATTCAATTCCCTTGAGCAATAATTTGCCAAATATGCATATGCCTTGCTTTCTACCATATGTATGCATATATTTAGGGGGAGCTTAATCTATATAATGTGAGAGTCAAATTTTGTGACCTATTCCACTCTACACGCAAAGGATCACAAAGTTTGACCATCCCTTGTGCTACTAATGTCTTCCTTTTCGGTGTTTGATTCCAAAGGAGGGGGATTTAGAGGACCAAAGACAAGCATTAATTTGTAGGACCAAAAGCTAGATCATAATAATTTACAACTGGTAATGGTCTACAAGTGGTGTCTACAAGTGGTAATGGTCCGAAAAAGGGAGGATAGTGGATTATGGATTGCCTATGTAATGGGGAGAATTTGTAGGAAACAAGGCTTAAATCCATAATGCCACAGGGGACATTTGCAAGGGCAAGATAAGTTTTCAAGTGGTATCTTTTAGTCTTACAAATAGTATCTTTTAGCATCATATAACCGTGCCCCTTGCATTGCATCCTAGCAAGTAGATAGTTTTTAAATTCCAATTTTTTATTATTTGCTTGCTTTGCTCGTGTTGTCATCAATCACCAAAAAGGGGGAGATTGTAAGGAAAATGGATCCTAGGCCCATTTACTTTGGATTTTGGTGTTTGATGACCAACACAACCGAATTGGACTAATGAATTTGCAAGTAATTATTTTGTAGTTCAATAGGGTGCAAGACGTGACTTGGATGAAGGCGACGTGATGATCCGATGATCAACACCATAAGCAAGAACTTAGAAGCACAAGAGAAGACCCAAGATATGAAGCAAAGTCCAAGCACGAAGATAGGAACCAAGCCGGACGTAAGATCGCGAAGAAACGAGCTCACAGAGGTGACCGGACGCTGGAGGAAAGCAACCGGACGCTCTGATCAAGTGGCTCGGCAACAGGTGTCAGCAGCAGCGACCGGACGCTGGCGGCAAAATGACCGGACGCAGGACAACAGAATCCGGTCGAGTACAGAGAGGTTCCAGAGCGGCGAAACTACGACCGGACACGTCCGGTGGTAGGTGACCGGACGCTGGCAGCGTCCGATCAGTTGATCGCGGCTCCAACGATCGGGACCGGACACGTCTGATCAGGACAACTTCAGCGTCCGGTCAGTAGCAGAAAAGCGAGACTTCGTCCCCAACGGCTACTTTCTCAGTGGGGCTTATAAATACAACCCCCAACCGGCAAAATAAGTAGAGTGGAGCTAAGGAAACATATCAAGGGTGTTGATACACCATTTTAGTGATCTCCACTTACATAATGCTTAGTGATTCATTAGGTGATTAGCGTAGGTGTTTTGCGAAGTGCTTAGGTTGATTAGACCACCGCTTATGCGCTTGCTCTAGGTTTAGGCCTAGTGTTTAGTGAAGTTTGCATACCTCTTACCACTCAGTGCTTGCGTGCACCATTGTTGTATATCAGAAGGGCTTGTAGTCTTGCGAGATCACACCAACCGTATTTGTGGTGTGACCGCCACCGTATACCAGAGGGAACAAGGCCCGCGGCGTTTCGGTCGGAAGCTTGATAGCGAAGACGGCGGGGAGCATCCGGGAGAGGCTTGCCGGAAGGCACATCGGAGACCCACTTGCACGTGGGGAAGGCCTGAGGCTATCCACGGAGTTACCCGACCGGGAGCTTGGCCCTTGTGAGGGGCTCCAACGAGGACTAGGGGGAAGCTTACGCGCTTCTCGATACCTCGGTAAAAATACCGGAGTCATCGATGGGAGTTTGCATATCTCTACCTTGCTCTTTAGCTTCCGCATTTACATTGTATACATTACTCCTTCTGCGGTAGAGATAGCAACACACTAGCAAAACCGTAGTTGCACATTCAGATAATTTATCTTTTGCATAGGTTTTCCTAAGGTTAGAAAAAGAGGCCATAGTTTAGAGTTAGAATTTTAAGTTGCCTAATTCACCCCCCCCCTCCCGTCTTAGGCGTCGCGGTCCACTTCAATGTACATTATTGTTTGAAAATACACACGGTAATTAACTTGTATTATTTTCTCTATTTCACAGCCATACCATTTAATGCTATTGACAATGATGAGTTTCTACGAATGTGTGAAGCAATTGGTCAATTTGGTGTTGGATTTGAACCCCCTTCTCAAGATCATTTAAGGGGGGTTTTGTTGAATGAGGAATATGCAAGAACCAAGAGTTTGCTGCAGGAACGTGATGCTGAAAAGGTGAAGAATGGATGCTCTATCATGACTGATGCCTGGTCAAATAAGAAGAGGAGAAGCATAATGAACTTGTGCACGAATTGTGTTGATGGAACAAGTTTTATAAGCTCAAAGGAGATGTCAGATGTGTCACACACAAGTGAAGTCATCTTTGAACTAGTGGACAAAGCAATTGAAAAAATTGGCCCTGCTGATGTAGTGCAAGTAGTGACTGACAATGCTTCTAATAACATGGGAGCAAAGAAGTTGTTGCATGAGAAGAGACCAAACATATTTTGGACCTCATTTGCAACTCACACAATCAACTTGATGCTACAAGGAATTGGCAGCCAAAAGAGGTTCCAGAAGGTAATTGACCAAGCAAAGGCATTCACTACCTTTGTCTATGGGCACACAAGAACCTTAGAATGCATGAGACACTTCACAGAGGGCAGAGATATAGTCAGGCCAGGAGTAACAAGATTTGCTTCAGCATTTCTTACTTTGGAAAGCATTCTAGAGAAGAAAGATCGGCTAAGAAAGATGGTGGTTCATAGCAAGTGGGATGGATTGAGAGAAGTATCATCCAAAAAAGGAAAGGCTACAGCAGCAACGATGATGAATGTAGATTTTTAGAAGGAAGTCAAGATGTGCTTGAAAGTTTTTGAGCCTCTAGTAAAAGTTCTCTGTTTGGTTGATGGCGATGTGAAGCCATCTATGGGTTTCTTGTATGGAGAATTAGTGAAGGCAAAGAGAGAGATCACACAGGTTTATGGCAATGTGGAGTCTCGCTACAAAGATGTCAGGGCTGTTATTGATAAGAAGATGGAAGGCAGGCTTAATTCCCCTTTGCATCTGAGTTCATACTTGTTGAATCCTCATTACAGTTATGCTGATACTTCAATATTTGATGATGGTACTATAATAGAAGGGTTTATTAATTATGTTGAGACTTTCTATCATGATGATGAGGAGAAGCAAGATCAGGCTGTTCTACAAAAGATGGCTATGAGAATTCTTTTACTAACTTCAAGCTCTTCAGGCTGCGAAAGAAACTAGAGTATTTTTTATTTGGTCAGTAACCTATAATCTCAAGTCTGAATATTCAGTTTATTCTCCAACCTGTTTTGCTTATGTTCTTAATTCTTATGTTTATTTGTAGATACATACTAAGAAAAGAAATAGGCTAACTAGAGCCTGCCTAAACTCTCTTGTCTTCATACAATTCAATTCCAAACTCATGAGTAGGAGACAACAGATCAAGTCAAAGAAGATTGCTGATGTTCTCTCATCCAATGATGTCATGCAAGCTCAAGGTTTCATGTTTGAGGGTGGAGATGATTGTGCAACAGTTGTCTACCAGGACGATGATGATGAAGAAATGCCTAGTACAGGGATAAGTTGGACTGTTATTGGAGAAGCAATGGGAGCAAGTGAACAACTAGAGCTACGTCGAAGTTCAAGAATAAGAGAGCTCTATGCAGAAGAGGAATTTGATTCTGAAGAAGAGGAATTTGACAATGAGGATGGGCTGGATGGCATGGATGAAGATAAATGAGTCAGCTGGAATGATGGCATCATTTGTTATGTTTATCTATGCATTGCCATCATTGTTGTTTTATCAATTTATCAGTTGTGTTGTACTGTCATGCTCATGAGTGGGTTGTAGTGATGTATCTTTTAATTTGGAACTAAGTAGGACCTTAATCTATGGTTTATGAACTTTAGATAATCAGATGTAATGTTATGTTCCTTTGAACTAAGTAGTGGTGCAGTACCGTTACACCATTGTTCTTGCCATTGCTATTGGCCTTATCTGTTTATAAATATTTAATCATGAGGTATATTTTTTGTTTTATGAACCTAATCAACATTTGATGTTTCCCATATGTGTGACTGTTAGGAACATTACAGCATGAAACCAACAATTGCTGAGTTGCACCTGTACAAGTCCAACAATTGCTCAGTTGTACAAGTCTAGGAACAAGAGCAAATGGGGTATGTTTTTATTTATACTTCTTAAGTCGACAACCTATTACATGAATCTGATTTGCTACAGTACAGAATGCTTAGAACGCTTAAGCCTGCTTAAGCGCTAAGCGGCGGGTCACCGCTCGCTTAGCGCTTAACTTTTTTTTGAACTTTGATGCTGAGTCTTGCTCTATATATTACTACATCACATAAAGCCTCAGAGGCTTTTCATCGAGCACAAGCTTATTTTAACCATACATGACATAACCCTTGCCATCATAAAGGACTAGGTGCAGATCTCAAAGAAGATAAGAATACGGAAAAGAGAAATAGAAAATAATCAGAAAAGGCCTCTATGAGCATATCTAGTGTGACCTTCCTGTGATAGCTTGAAGAAATCTTGGCATTGGCGGTATATCAATTTCCAACAAACCCTCAAGAATTTGTACTACTTCACCCATGGTTGGCCGATCTGACTCCTCTTCCTGGATACACCAGCAAGCCACCTTGCATACTCTCTCAGCCTCATCCAAGTTAGCATGACCAGATAACTGGACATCCAACAAACTCCCAATATCTCCATTCAGGAGTTTACTTGCTACCTCCACTGGGAAACATGCAACATGGACATCATCACTAGTATTTTCTTTACATGTGTTTCTCCTTCCTGATATAATGTCAATCAGCACCATCCCGTAGCTATAGACATCCACTTTTGATGTAATTGCCACTCCGCTGATCCATTCGGGTGCGAGATACCCTGCAGTTCCTCTCATAGTAGTTATAACCCTGCTAAATTCCCTTCCTAAAAATTTTGCCATCCCAAAGTCTGCGATTTTAGGTATGAATGATGCATCAAGAAGTATGTTCTCTGGCTTAATATCACAGTGTATGATGCAATCCCTGCAACTCTCATGCAAATACGCCAACCCTCTTGCTACTCCAAGAGCTATCTGGTAACGGGTGCTCCAATTTAGGACCGTTGTATGGCTATCAAAAATATGTGCATCAAGGGAGCAATTTGGCATGTGCTCATACACAAGCAGCCTCCTATCCCTTTCACAACAGAAGCCAATTAGCTTGATCAAATTGATATGTTGGATGATTCCTATGGAACTCACTTCAGCCCTAAACTGCTTCTCTCCTTGACGGACACCATCAAGCCTCTTCACTGCAACAGCTGTCGAGTCAGTTAAAAGCCCTTTGAACACAGATCCAAAACCACCACTCCCTATTCTCTCAGAGAAATTTTTAGTTGCATTTTGAAGATCAGTGTACCTAAAAGCAATAATTCCATTTCCACCATGAACATCATTCGATATGCTAAAAGATCGTTCCCTCAAGGTCATCCACATGAAAAAAGCTGATAACATACTCAGAACTACAACACTTGCAGCGATGATAGCCCCAATGATCTTTCCTTTTGATCTCTTACTATTTCTCCAATTATATGCATCTTTTGCAGCAATGCGAAGGTACAGAATTCCCCCATCATCGGTGGTTCCATTGGTATAGCTTCTTATGTTTAACAAGTCGTCATGCCATAGGGAGCATCTGTCACCACTAGAATAGGCATATGCAGAGCAAGAGCAGTTATTCAGGCATGCTTGTTCGCATTGTTCTGTGCTCCCAACAGAACCAATAATGTCACCTTTTGTAGGCAGTGTTGCATCAGGCAATGGGTAGAACTTATCTGTCGTTTTAGCTCCACTATGGTTCCTGGTGCTGCAATCCAATGGTGTATTTCTTGTGCAACCACCGGTATGATCCTCTTGCTCCCAGTCCTCAGGTGACCTTAATGAGAATCCCCTCATGCAATCGCATGGTGAAGGTGCATTGCTGTTGCAAATAGTGAATGGTCCACAAGTAGCATATATATCACATAAATCTTTAGGTTGGGTGTAAATTGGTGTCCATTCTTGCTTGTCCTCAAGCCATATAAGCAGCTTGTTCTGACCAGATATGTCCAAAATACTAATAGATATTAAGTCTTTCTCTAGTAATATGGATTGGAAGTACTCCTCTTTGTCGTTGTTGATAAACTTGTAGTCAAACAGAGTGCGCCCTGACATTTCAGGCATTGCGTTGAAGTATTGGCCGTTCCATTCCCCAGTAGACCAATACACTATGGACGTGTTACATATTTTGAAGACAAATTGGGGAGCCCCAGTAGGATCTAATTCCTGACAATAGCGGCCGGGAGATGGGTCAATCATGCTCCTCTTGGAAACAACACGCCGGTTCAGACCGGTGGTCTTGTCTATGCCAAACTTTGCACCAGGGGGCATGATATCTGTAGGGTAGTCAAAGCTCTGCCATAAGATGTTGGAGGAGTTGGTTGCGTCCCTTAAGACAAGGTTTCCATTGTCCAGGAGCACCGCCGTAGAGTTCTTGGCTGTTATACTAGCATGGGTCGACCAAACCACCGATTTGGTGGCTTGGTTGAAGATGGCAAGGTTGCCGTCCTCAAAGGTAGCGAGCTTTGTCATTCTGTGATGACCTATAACTGGGCTCTCCCTATTTGCTACCCATATTGGAGTTAACTGGGAGACCTTGTCGAACCATATTCCTAGGTACCAGTGCTTGGGAGTGTGCCGAACAGAGGATTTACTGCCTGGATGGAAGAAGCCAAGCGCATACCTGCCATTGCTGGAGACAAGCTTGGCGTCTCCAATGAGCGCCTCACCGGCTGAAATGGAATCTGTTGTTGCAGAACAGGCAGGAGCATGCAGGGAGTAGAGGAGGTACACGAGAAGGAAGAAAGCAGAATGCATGACTGACAGAGATAACACAGGGAGATGGAGGGGAGGTAAGAACATAGTAATATACTACTACTACGATGCAGCATCTGTTACTATTAGTCAGACCAGTCAATATTCCCGGTAGTGATACTGATACTTTTAGTCTGATATACGCAGCGTTGGAGCCACGGCAACGTTTGTTGTGTGGCCAAGTTCAGCTGTGGATTTACCGTTGTGGTCAAACTTGATGACTGGACTCATGCATTTTGAAAACATCTTGGACATTCACTTGGGTTTAACTAGTACTTGAATCAAGCTGGGCAGATTGCACTGTGTGACAAGCTCTTCCTCACCCTTTTTTTTTAAAAAAAAAAAAGTGCTGGCAGTAGCGCCGTTGTGCTTGCAATTTTGCATTAACATAGAAGGAAGTATAGATATACAGATTACAAGAAAAAGTGAAATCAAACAAGGAACCATTGTCAAAAGCCAAAGAGATAAGTCTCCCGTAATGAGCAGCCACAAATAGGTCTTGTTCACTTGGTCTGTTGGCATCTTTACAGTTCTGCAGGCCAATGGTTAGCAGCCCGTTCGGTACGCTGGCTGGGCTGGCTGGTGCTGGGCTTATCAGCCCAGCCGTTCGGCAGCCCAGCACCAGCCAGCCCAGCCGAACGGCTGGCTTATATCCGTTGCCGCACTCCTATCGTCCGTCACTTTCTCTCCTTCCTCCCGTCGCTCGCGGTGGCTAGGGTTCCACGCTGACGCGCCGCTCCTCACCTTCACGCCGCGCTTGTCCGGGCGGTAGCCTGCGCCGCGTGCTCGGCCGCCGTCGGTGGCCCCCAGATCCAGGCTCCGCCGCCTCTTTACTCCGTCCTCCCCGATGGGGCTGCTGGGAAAGTGTCGTCTTCTCACCTTCGTCTTCATTGTCGACGACTTTGGCCAGCGAGGTAACCCAGATCCCTCGCCTTCGTCTTCTCACCTTGCCGCCTCTGAGGCGCAGCTGGTCGTCTCGTAGGTTGAGCTCCGCGCGGCTAGGGTTTCCCTCACTCACTCCGGCCTTGGTGACAGTGGGCTCGGCCTTCCTCCCCCGACCCCGCCTCCATCAACGGCGAATCCTTCCACCACGGTAAGCCCCCCCACCCGACGCCTCGCACTTTGACCCGCCGGATCTGAGATCCAACGTGTACTCATGTCTCTTTTAGATCTATTATTACCAAACACTAAGTTTGATCTCTTCCCTTTGCTTTTTTGTACCTGCTAAGTTTTATGTGGAATGCAGTCTTAAACTCCTAATGGTTTCTGTGCCTCCTTTGTCATTGTGTGCTTGCAAAATATTAGTTGAGTGCTACAACTAATGTATTCAGTCACTATCAGCATTAAATAGGATTCCATTTTATAGAAGTGCTACTTTTGTGAACAATATTCTTGCTATTTTACTATATCAGTAGGAGTTAACATATATAAGTTTGTTCATATCATCATATGTTCATCATATTTGACACTGGACCTTGATTTAATGAGTTTCTTCTATACTTGTATATTGAATGCTAAGTATGGAGTGTTACAACTCATGCTTTTCATTGCATTCAGCATTCAGTTGGTTCATCCAAGTGGTTTGTTATTCTTGAACAATTAATAGCTCCTAGGTTACTCGGATATATATGTTCGGTGCACTTGTGTCATTTCATTCTCATGCAACTAGCTGTCGAATCATTTTGCTTGCATGGTCCAACTTTTACTAAGATTCCTGTTTGGTTTCATTGCGTTTTAGTCACTTATGACTTACAGGGCAAGTATAAGGGGTTGTAGATTACAAAATGTGCTTACCTATACCAACAATTTTACAATGTTTCAGATTAGGTTTTCAATCTTACAATTGACCTCTATGATTGAACTGCAGACTTACAAGGGACATTTCGTCCGGTTGTGATCAGCGCTGCCCAAACTGGCAGCGTCGTCGGCTTCGTCTTGCTCTCCAACTGGTGGCAAGCCCTACAACCTCCGCTCAAAAGGCCGAAAACGGCCACATAAGGCAAGTTACGGATCCTGTGCTTATTCTGCTTCCTTTGTTGTTGTCTCCTTTGTGTTCTGTATTTTCTCTGAGGGGTTGGCTGTGGTGGACAATTAGAACAGTTCCAATTCACTCCTATAATTCATTTATGGGACTAGTGTTCTAGTTATTTAGTTCTTTGGTTTCCTGTATGCTTCCTTCACATTGAGGCAATTAGTATTATCCATGATACAAGAAAGCATTATGAATCCATTAGTACATCTTTTCCTGCAGATTTTGCGACTGCTGCATTACTAATAGCTTTGTCGATCCTTGAATCAGATGAGCCAGGACCGTGCTGTCTGGGATGACAGAGCAACCTCTCTGCTTCTTGACCTAATCATCCAGCAGAAAGAGCTTTGTCACTAGACCCCTGCCAACGGTCCAACCTCACTAGGGTGGACCAATATCACTCATGACTTCAACAAAGTCACGGACCTTGGGTACAACAAGAAAGTGTGCCAGAACAAGTACAACGAACTGAAACGTTGTTACTTCAACTGGCGCGACGGCCAGACCCATACTGGGCTCGGCCGTGACCCGCTGACTGGAGAGGTTACAGCTGACCCTGAGTTGTACGGCGCCAGCCCCGGGGTACTAACTACACGCATTTTTTTGAATATTTTGTAGCAATTAGGTTCGTACTAACTCAATACTAACTTCGACATCACTGCAACACGTGCAGGAAAGTAGCCAACCCGCTAGAAACAAGTTCAAACGGCCCCAATGCTGTGAGCAACTGATCACAATTTTGGGACGCACCCCACGTGACAGGGGCCAGTTGGTATCGGCGGGGGGCCACCGACCCGACAAGTCACCTAGTAATGGAAGCCCTCGCACTCCTCCATCCTTATCGGACCACCAGCACGAGCCACCTAGTACTCATCAGCCCTCGAAGAGAGTCCATAGAGAGTTTTCAGTGAACAGTCCTCGCAGCAAGAAGAGTAGCCAAACTCCATCTGTAGAAGAGTGCCTTGAAGACCTCGGCCACTTTCTCAGAGAGGCTAGGTCCTAGAAGGCCCGTCACAAAACCGATGCGCAGGAATTGGCCCAAGTCCGAAACATTCTGCTGCAAGATGGTATTAGCGAGGCTGATGAAGTATCCGTGCAAGCCCTGAACCTTTGCAGAGATAGGCTCAGTCGCCAGGGTTTTCTAGACATGGAGTCCAAAGAGGGCCGGCTGAACTGGATCAAAGTGACGTGGGCCTTTGTGTGCTCCAACAAGTCCCACTGATCAGCACATTCCTTTTTTTCGCCTGTTTGCGGATATTCACCATGTGCATGTTGAGTTCATTTGGTTTGTTGTATCCTTATGTTCGTTTTTTCGTATTACCAAAGACTATTGTTGAGAACTAAGTGCCTGTCGTTGTCTCATTTTTTGAATAAAAAATTAGTGTACTGGTGTGAGTGTTGTAAACAAAAAAAGAGTGTTGTAACAAATTAGTGTACTGCTGTGAGTGTTTTGAATAAAAAATTAGTGTACTTTTCCCATGTACGTTCCAACCTGTTTTGAAGGTGCTACGAGTTCGGTATAAATCATATGTTCATTTATTTGCACTTGTGTTGTTCCTAATGTCGGCATTACAATCATCTTATGTATGCCCAATTGCGAGTAGCAAACATGAGCGGCATGAGCAAAGACTGACGAGTCCTCCCTAATGACACATCCGGTGATGGACCGAGCAATGTGGACTGTGGCAAAGGCAACATTTGTCCTGCTTTGAAAGGGCTTCATCACAAACAAAGGCACGAGGTAAATCCTCCTTGCCCCATTCCTAAGCTAACGGGAGCCCGGTGGATGCGACTTACACTAGCCGAAAATACCAGATGTTTAGAGAATTTGCGCATGTCGGCGTGATGACTTCATGCATTTGCATGAAACCTGCTTCCGTTTGGGCTGCCAACAACAGTATAAGTGCACCTCGGTAGAAGCTTTAGGCATGTACATCGGACATGTGCCCACCAATCGGCTAGTAGACGGTGCAAGTATAGGTTGAAAGGTCTTTAGATACGATTAGCGGAAGATTACACTAGTTGCGAGAGGTAATGTACCGGTGGGCAAATACGGTCTTAGTCCCAAAGAGATAGGAACTACATGCGCGTAAGCCACAAACTTTTTGCACATTCACCATGGTTTGATGGCTACATAGGTGCTATAGATGGCACGCACATAAAGGTTGAGGTTAACCGTCAAGCAAAGGCTGATTTCTACAATAGGAAAGGCGAAACAACATTAATGTTTGTGCCATCGTGGATATGGATGGCCGTTTCACATATATGTGGGGAAATTTTGGAAGGCGCGGGGCATATCATGACATGGCGGTGTTGAAAGACTGTCAGGACGACGCTTCGTTCCCACATCCCCCCGAAGGTTCGTGATGCCTTGCTGTTCGCATACCCTATTTGTTTCCTTGTAGTACATGCATTGAAGCATACTTGTGGTTAATTTGCTAAGCCATCGGATTTGTCACTGCTATGATAGGCCGGTACTACCTAGCGGACACGGGTTACAAGGAGATGGAAGGCTACATGACCCCTACAAAAACACAAGGTATCACATCAATGACTTTAGAGGCATAGATATGCAAAGACAATTGCGAGAGGGAGGAGAAATTCAACTACATTCATGCTAGATTGCGGAATGTAATTGAAAGGAGGTTTGGGGTGTTGAAAGAAATTTGGCAGATTCTTGATGGGGTGCCCTCTCGCAGTAGGATGAAGCGAGCTATGATAATCATTTCATGCTTTGCTTTAGATAATTTTTTGTGGATGCGTAAAATCTGGCAGATCCACCCTCCTATGAGGTGCCGGATTGGGTTGAACTAAATCTGGGAACCCCTATCTCTGGACTTAGGGAGTTAATATCCATGGCGGTGTGGAGTGTTGTCTGATGTAGGCCAAGGATGTTGTTTCACAAACCAGTAGCTGTAGGTACAATTCCTTAGCAGTCTTGGCGTGTGCATCTGTAAGGTTGTGTGGGACTGAGTTCGTTTGAAAAAAACGTTTATGGGACTATCATATTGTGTTTGTTGATGTATGACAGAATTGTAGTGACAGAACTACAAGTGCCAAGTTATGTACTGATTGGTGTTGTGATGTATGATTTCATAGTAGTAGCTACATTGTTTCTGTGAATGACCATGCCACGTTCTGTACTGTTTGGTGCTGTGATGTAATACTCTGTACTGTTTAGTTGCTACTCAAGGATTCTGTTCCTCAGAGGTATGATTTCATCATATTGGTTTTGTATTTGTTCATATGGATGATTGAACCAGAGGTAATTTGAGTTTGCTACTGGGCAAGAAGACAGAAGAAGACGTGCTTCGTGCTTGGAGCAGTGAACTCACCACGTCATGCTGCTGCTTTCTTGCTAGGTAAACTCTCAATATTAGTAGTAACTTCCATGAACATCCATTTTATTTACATGGTGACCTTGCCATCTTACTGTTCAGCACAAATTGGTTGGCACCAGTGCAAGGTGCTTTTGCTGCCCTTCCTAGTGTATATAAAGGAGATGAAGTGACATGTGCTACGTATCAGCTAAGGTGCATATGTTATGTTGAGTCTTCGATACGTTAAATGATTGTCATCATCTCTTTCAATATAGAGATTGCAGATTTTCATTACCTGGATCAGTTCCAATCAAGAGTGACTGAGTCTAGCAATCATGAAACATGCATTGTATCTAGTCTGATTACTAGTGGTACAAGTGTATCAGATCCAAATGAAGGAAAGGATGGTACTGCTAATTTCTGGCGCCATATGCGGTGCCCAAGATGACCAGATAATGCTTGAGTCCAAAATTTCTCCTCCAAAACTTGCCAACCAGGTGAATATTAATTGAATATAACATGATCCAGAATTTAAGTTGATTACAACTTAGCTTTTAGGTTGTCAATGAGTAGATGGAAAGACAGGCTGATAATTTCATTAGCCTATATTATGAAGGTTTGCAGATGGTAAGTGTTTCAGTTTGAGCCTTAATATATTATACAATGCCTGTTTATGATTACCCTTGACCTTTTGGCTGTTCTTTTCTGGCAGTGTGACGATGGTTGCAAATACTCGACTCACAGTGTAAACCTTAGAGTTATGGGGGATTCCGGGAAAGGAACCACCTGGCCTAACTACCCACGCTGCAACGGTCGCCTAGGAAGACAGGTTTGTTGACACTCTTCGTGATCTTACAATGTGCCCATTTGGGGAAGTGGCAACTGGTGTCTAATACTAAACCTTTGTGTGTAACGTACTCGGAGGCAGATCTAAACAGACAACTGTCATTTGGCCAGCAATGTACTTGATGCAACCCGGTGTCTTGAAAAGGTTCTCATCAACCTAACCATGTACTTTTCTTTTTTTACTTTCTAATCCAACCTATGCCGCAGCTGACTTGATCTTAACTGCTTTGGATGTAGCTGGACCAGAAGGCAAAGCTCCCCTTCGAGAGAGTTTGTAGCAGTAGGCCGAACAATTAACTTGGCATTTGTATGGGTGCAGCTAAGGGACCTTGCCGTGTCAATATGATGTTTTTTTGGGGGTGCTGGGGTGTGTGGGTGTGGGTGGTGGGGGGTGGAGAGAGCTCAATTAGATGAATTTGATTGTAATCGTGCAAGTAATTAATCGCTGTCTGTAGGTTGTGTTGATTCTGGATCTAGCATGGATCATAAACCTCAGTCCCTTTTGATCTGTTTAAACATTGGACAAACTGTTCCTGCACTTGAGTTGCAAACTGTAAATTATGGGTTCAAATTGTTGGTTGAAACTGTAAAACAGCATGATCTAGAAATGCATGGTAGTTTGAATTTGAAAGCTTGAAATCAGCATGAGTTACAATTGGGTTGACGCCAATTTTTTAACGCCTGCACAGTATCTGCTGGCTAGAGCATGTCTGCAGCATGCTGGATACGGCTGGGGGCTGGAATTGGCTGGCTGGGCTGGCTGGTCCCAGCACCAGCCAGCCAATTCAGCCCTGCCGAACGGGCTGTAGGTTCTTCGGCAGGGGAGAACGAAAAGCTTGATAGATTGACTCAACATAACATTTGTAAGTTTGATCTGGTCAGAGCCGGGGATAAGGATAACCAAACCCAACATATCATCTACTGTTACAGAGGTCCAGGATGACATTAGTGGATCGGTACATACTTGCAATGCATCCGCTGACACGAAAATATGTCTTTTGGTTGAGCCATCTAGTTTTCTCACCTATTTGTTTGTCTTGTTTTGCATATGATTATCTGAACAAACAAGTATTTGTTGCTCGTAGGAGTAACTGTTCTGTATGTCCTCGGAACAGATGTACTCCCTCCGTCCCAAATTATAAGTCATTTCAACTTACTTCGAGAGTCAAAACATCTCAACTTTGACCAAATTTCTATAAAAAAATTAATAACATTCATGATACAAAATAAGTATCATTAAATTTTCATTAATTATATTTTTCATAGTATATCTATCTGATGTTATAAATCTTTGTAAATCTCTCTTAATTTTGATCAAACTTGAAATTCTTGGAATGACTCGTAATTTGGAAAGTACGAAGTATGTCACATTCTCATATGGATACTGTACATCGGTTGGGGCTACTTGGACACTTTTGCCCACTAAATATCCAGTGAAAACTCCTCTCCGTGGAATTGTGGGTATACCCTCTGAAAATAACATGATTACGTTTCTTAAAAAAAATAACATGATTAGAACTTTGAAAAAAAATAAAAGAAAAATCACGTATAGGTTATGTCACCGCCGTGTCTCGTGTGTGTTTGGAAACTTCTAATCTTTTTTTCCACCATTCCAAAGGGCAGTGGAGTTCCTCAGAAATGTCCATAGGTTGAAACAACTATACAATCCCCAGTCACCGCGTCTTCCTACACTCAGTTGTCCAACTGTCAACAAATGACCACGCAGATGATGCGAATTCTGGCCAACCGAGAGATTTCACTTCACGTGACGTTCCCGGTAGCTTTTTCTAAGCTGAGGTTGAATCATTCTTCCTCCACGACGGTCCAGATAGCTTCTCTGCTTGCTGTTCACCTTCACGTGACGTCGATGCCTCTCCCTTGACGACACTAACCTATACGGCAGCACTCCACGCTGGGCCAAACTCGGTTAAACGTCCCCGACGTGTCTTGACCAGCCAGCCAACTGGACCCGGTCGAGTACACGGCAGTCGGCGGCATAGGCCGCATCTGTACTGAGCCTCAACAAGATATCACATACCAGAAAAAGGCTCCGAAAGCGAAGAATTTTTGTATAGCATATCCAGGATTAGCCTAACTAGCCGATAACAGGATTAATCGCGCTGATGTACCAGTACCATACTTTCTTACGCGCAAAGGGACTGACCAATAATTTAAGAAAAGCAACAGCTTTACATCCCCTAAATATTGCAACCAAGCTAAACTCACTAGTCAAATCCTAACATACTTTCTGACCGCACTTTCCCCCTTTTCCCAACATGTATCTACCCAAAAACAAATGAAAAAGGAATGAGAAAAGAAAAACTCTAGTAAATGGATCTCAAACCAGATCATCTTCTGGGGTACCCTTAGGACTCCTCACCATCTCAAGCATGCTGACAACCTCAGACATGTCTGGTCGTTGAGAAGGCACCTGAGATGCACAAACCAGCCCCAGCTTGATGATCAGTGTGGCCTCCTCCATCGAAAATTCACCTGATAGTCGTGGATCCATGCAGTCCTCCAGCCTGTCATCATCAAGCGCACCTCTGACCAGATCAGAAAGCACAATGACATCGTCTTCCAAGTACTCCACGGGCCTTCTGCCTGTCAAAATCTCAAGGACGAACACTCCAAAGCTGTATATGTCGCACTTCTCTGTGACCTTGACCGTCCTGCAAGTGAACTCAGGTGCCATGTATCCCAGCACGCTCTGGATCTTACTGCTGAGCACATAGCGATCCAACATCGGCAGCAGGTTCACAAGACCATAGTCACCAACCCTGGGCTCACCATTTGTGTCTAGCAAGACATTGCTGGACTTCAGATTGTAATGGATTATACCGTAGCGATGCAAGTGCACAAGTGCCCTGGCCACACCAATGACTATGTCAAACCTCTCCATCCATGAAAGCGAGCTCTCATATGAGCACTCGTGCAGGTGCTGATGCAAGCTCCCAGCAGGCATGAATTCATATATAAGGAGCTGCAGTGAGGAAGTCCAGTAGAAGCCTTTGAGCGTGACAATGTTATGGTGACACACCTTGCCTAGAAGCTTGACGTGCTGCTTGAAGTCATCCTCTGACTTGACCATACTTGAAACTGTCAGCTTCTTGATGGCCACTGGCTGGCCATCTCTGAGCACTGCCCTGTAAACAGTACCAAAGCCTCCACGCCCAAGTTCACAATCCTTATTCAGCAATGCATGCCCATCAGCACTGAAATCCGAGCTGCCTCTGCCAAACATGACGAGCTTCCCAGACTTGGCCTCATTTTCAGGAGATTCAGCTGATTGGCTATGATAATCATCTGACAATGCAGCGGGAAGTGCCGAGCGGGATACTGTTGCACGGGCACGGCAGTTGAGCACTGTTATAGTGACCACACCGATAAGAATAACTGCTCCACCCACAATGGCGATGAGTGTGGAGATGCTCAATATCATCTTCTTCTGGTGCTGGTTCCTTGGGGAACTTGGGGCAACATCCAACCAGGGGTCTGATGAGGAGTTAGGGTTGAAAACAATTGGCTTTGGCATGACACCGTTGCAGGAACTGTTCTTCTGTGAACTGCAAAGGCCGTCATTGTCGGAGATGAAAGAATAAGGGATGCTGTCAAAGAAGCGGCTGTTGGGGAGGCTCCCTGACAGTGAATTGTGAGAGACATTGAAGAAACGCAGGCTGTCAAGTTTAGAGAGCTCCATCGGCAAGGTGCCGTTCAGCAAGTTATCTGAGAGATCAACTGTTTGAAGACTAGTAAGGTTACCCATGGACATAGGAATTGGTCCTGCAAGTTTGTTGTGTGATAGATCCCTGCAAAGAAAGAAGAGAATTAAATAACCCATCACCTGAATTAGTGCCTAGTAATCGACAGAAGCGCTTTGCCTTGTTTGTTAAAAAAGGGCGTACCCAGTGCAGAGAGCTCTCGCTCTGTGCGGGGTATGGGGAAGGGTGCGCTTTGCCTTGTTTGTTGCAATAAAAAAAATTTAATCAGCAACAAAATTCGTGCACAATTTGACTCATGTTTTTTAGTGCATCCAAGAGAAGCATGGAACCTGACAGTGGAATAAGAGCAAAGCAGCAAGACAAAGATGTCACCCATGTTTTCGGTTTAGTGCTTCCAAACAGCAAATAAGACATACCTATGGCTTTCTACATGAGACCTGCAACCTAGGAAGCAGAGAACTAGTAAAAACTAACACGACAAAAACAAATGGAAACTAGTAGTCATCTAGTCAACCACTAAACAAGCATGCACATGTACTAGGAACTGGGTAATGCCAGCGAAAAGGATCACTTACAAAGCAATCAGGGATTTGCATGTGCCGATCTGCACAGGAATGCCTCCAGTAAGTGAATTCCTCCCCATCAGCAGCTGTTGGAGCCCCACCGCACCTCCAATCTCCGGTGGTACAACCCCGTCGAACTTGTTTGCACTCACATCCAACACCTCAAGCACCAGCCCAATGCTTGCAGGAAGCTGCCCCGACATGGAATTCGAGGACAAATTCAGGTACTGCAATCTCGCAAGGGTGGTAATCTCAGGCGGGATCGCACCGGTGAAAGCATTGTCTGAGAGGTCCAGTGCTTCCAGGGTCGCAGCAGCATCACCGGGAACCTTGACCCACCCTGACAGTGCATTTCCAGCGACGGAGACGCGCTGCAGTGGTAGCCCAAACACCCACCATGGGAGCTCCCCAGTGAGCGCGTTCCGGCTGAGGTCGACCTCGACCAGGTTCTTGCAGCCCGAAATGGCGTCCGGGATGGTGCCGACGAAGTGGTTGCCAGACAAATCCAGTCTCTCCAGCGCCGCCATCTCCCCAATCCACGCCTGGAGCTTCCCTGATAGGCCATTGCCAACAGCGCCGAGAAAACTCAGCCCGGACAGACCGCGCAGCGACTCGGGCAGGCCGCCGGTGAACGAGTTGTACCCGAGGTCAAGAGACTTGAGCAGCCCAGCTTCACCGACGTCCGCCGGTATCTCCCCTTCGAGGAGGTTGCGGCTGAGGTCCACCACACGCAGCGAGCTGCTCCGCGGGAACCCGCCGGGCACGCTCCCGGAGAGCAGGTTCCCGGAGAGGTCCACCGACCTGAGCGACGGCAGCGACCAGATGCCATCGGGGACCGGGCCGGTGAGCCGGTTGCGGGAGAGGTTGAGCGACACGAGCGAGTCGCAGGACGCGAGCGACGCGGGGATGCCGCCCGAGATCGCGTTGCCCGAGAGGTCGAGGGCGCGGAGGCGAGGAGGCAGCGCGTCGGGGAGCGTGCCGGAGAGGCGGTTCCCCGGGAGAGCGAGCGAGACGAGCGCGTCGAGGCGGAGCAGCGCGGACCGCGGGAGGCGCCCCGCGAGCGACGCGGCGGGGAGGTCGAGCGCGGCGACGCGGCCCGTGCGCGGGTCGCAGGAGACCCCCGGCCAGGCGCAGGCGTGGTCGGCGTCCTCGGACCAGGGCGCGAGGCGGCCCGCCGGGTCGGAGAGGCCCGACTTGAGGACGACCAGCGCCAGCACGTCGTCGCTCACGGTGGCGGCCGCGGCGGCCCCGGCCGACGCGGCGAGGAGGACAAGGACGGGGAGGAGGAGGAGGCGGAGGCGGAGGCGGAGGCGGGAGGGAGTCGCCATTGCCGCGGCGGCGGCGGCGGAGGAGGAGGAGGAGGTGGGCGACGAGATCATGGGAAGTGTTCGTTCATTGATTGGACTGGAGCGGCGGTTCGCGGCGCAGATGCACTGTTGTCTGCTGACTGCTGTCCTTGCTGCCGGGTTGCTGGTTTCGTCGTGGGAGGGGGGGGTGGGAAATCGCTTGCAATTAATGCTCCGCTGGCCACTGCGCAGTGGGGCCACCGTCTAGCTCGGGTTGTTCCACAATTTTAGCATTTCAAAAAATCAAATCTTGTGTGGGGTCGTGGCTCGTGGCCCGTGGGTGACGGATGGGCGAAGGCTGTCGTCGTCACTGGCGAGTGGGGGCGACCATGCCACGTCTTCGTCCACCGGGCAGCGATGCTGATTCATTCATGAGGTTTTTCGTGTGCATGCGTTTAATTTCCAAGACTATGGAACAAATTTGCTTGCCAATACATCAACCTCGGAAGCACCTCATTTCTCTAGTTCGGGATTCGAAATTTAAAAGCCAAAAAGATGGCCAACTCCTCCGAACGAACCAGTGGCCACGTCACCCAAAATGTGCCCTTCCGTTGGATCTCGATCTGTGTGGCCACGATTTGCTGAATCAGCTTCCAGCGAAATCAGCTTATTGCATGAATCTTGTTTACTTTCTGCTCCTCCTCTGTAGAAATCTGCTCCTCTGTAGAAATTTTTTGAATCTAGCTTCCGCTCCACATTTTACTGCCCAGATATTTACATCGGCACCTCGGCTTCTGCCCGATCCGGCCTCACCAACCTTCTCTTCCGCACGTCTTCCTCCTCTTCGATCCCTCTCTCCCGACGCCGTCGGTGCCACGCCTCGAGCGGCCCGACCACGTCGGTCGCCGGCCCTCGGCGCCGCGGTGCCCAGCCTCCTCCTCCTCCACGCTCCTCTCCCTCCCGAGACCCGACGCGAGCAAGGCGGCCGTGTTCTCCTCGCCGGCGTTGTGCCGTCCACGACGCCACTCCCTCGTCAGCTCCGCGACCTCGTTCTCCTCGCCGGTGTCGTGCGGTCCGCGACGCTAGCCGAGATTGTGTTGCCGCTTCCGCTGTTCCCCTTCGTTCCCCTTTTTGGCTGACGTGCTACGCCCTTTGCCGGAGTCGTCGGGTCCCAGAAGGACGGCCGGCTCAGTTGCGGCCACAACCCTAATAGTAATTCCGCCGTCCTTCCCCTCACCCTTTCTTCTTGGTTCGTCGCCAGCTTCAGTTCTTCTCAGGTTAGGTCTCCCATTTTCCCTTCCGGTTTACTCCTCATTCATTTCCTTGTTCTAGATCTGGATGATTTCTTCTTCCAATTAGCGATTAGTTCGCTCATTCGAATTCTTGTTTTGTTGATGGTGATGTGCTACAGGTGGCCCTAGGTGCTTGTGGTGGAAGTCGTGAGGGCCGCGCGCGCTGTCCTGCTTTGCGTTTCTCACTCCGGCCAGAATCAGAACAGCGGTTCAATGGTTGAACGAGCTGCCCTGCATCTCTGACTCCTTTTCTTATCGTTTTCCTATCCCGTTCCTGAGCTATGTGCTGTGCCTGGAGGAGCTGCATGCTCTTTCTTTTTCCTTTTTACGTTTGTGTTCTTCCTGATTGATCTTGTATATTCTATCAGAGTTTGGGTTTTTCGATGTGCTCCTTCAAATTGATTTTTTGCCGCATTTGGGTACTGTTCTCGTAGTCATGAATAGTTCAGATTGGTTCCTATGTTTCTTTATACTTGATTCGTCAAAATAATTCATTGTACATTTTTAATTACATATTAGATTGATCTGTTGGCTCATCAGTGTTGCTTCATTGTGAACTGCACCAAGGCATTGTAAAATGCTATATCATGGTCCCTGCCCTTCTCCCAAACCAATAGGTGCAGGTGGTAGGTGATATGTCACAGGCATCAGGTCAAATATTATTGTTTCTTATCCACGCCATCATGCTCCATATATATGCCCTTTACCTAGACACAGATTCATATGCATGGATATAATTCTAAAATCATTGATTTGGTGGTTCATACAGTTTATTTTTCTGCATTGCTATATGCATGGATATAATTCTAAAATCATAGATTTGGTGGTTCATACAGTTTATTTTTCTGCATTGCTATTTGCTCATATGTGATTATTACAGATATGGTCTGTTGATGGTTTAGCGATTGTTTGACCATGTTCCTTTTGTTATTTTTTACAGGGTTCAGGTTTATGGACACAAATAGTTCCAACAGCCTTGTCTTTTCAACAGATTCTCGTTTCAGAGCATTAGCGCCAGGCTTGTATTTTGCCTTCACTTTTTTTTCTCTCTTCCTACATAATATATTTGTGTTGTATGAATGAAAAACCTAGGAGCTTATTAGCTTGACACATGCATAGATTTGGATGACAGGCCCAGAACCAAGAGTCCAAAGGAGTAGGTAGGTCGCCAACTCACCATTGAGCCTAAACGTTTGTTTTATTGCTTGCAACTGCCCTCGTTATTTGTCTAAAACAATAGCCAAAGAACTATAAATATAGCACCAAAAGATAGCTGGACGACATTTTATGTACACCGGCTTAGAGATCAGCTACCGTGTATAGCTTTTCCACTATAAAATACTTATCCCAATTAAATCTTAAGAATGTTTTGTTTTCTGATAATAGGTACCTTAGTTTTCTTTGACATTTTCATATCACCTCATCGAATGCTTGGTACAACAAAGAGGAATAGAGCGACCTCAAAGTACACTAGAATTAAAATTACAGTGTGGTTCTCTTTGTCAGATTCGTATCCTTTATGTCGTAGGATTCTAAAATTCACCTCTCCCTACTCTATATGCACAGTGGTAAACCATGTGTTTCATCATCAAAGATACCCAGTTTAGTATACCTTATAACATTCAAGCTACAGTTCGTTTGACATATGAGTTGTGCTTTGGCTCACTTAACACCATCCAAACCGAGTTGCATGGTTCTGGTGCAATGGTTTTACTCAACATTTAGGCTACACTTCCTTTGGAAATGTTGGAAGCAAAAAATTAGTACCATGTACAGGGCTTATAATGATATATGATATGCATGGATCTGTTGGAGAGCTTGTGCGTAGGTGCGTACCAATCAGTTCTTTTGAGGAAACATATAGGTTGATGACTTTCTTGTACTTTTGTCCAATCTGTAATTTTCTATGTATATGGCCAGATACTCCTACAACATTATCAGGTGGTGATCTACAATATCTGATGATTACATCATAAATTATGTTTAACTTTTACACCAATGATCACGGGAGATCTTTCCTTCTTGTGTTTTTCTTTTTCTAGAATTGAGCCTATTTTCGGTGAGTTCCGTTCTTAATGTTTGACTGATTTAGTGTGTTCAAGTTTTATTAGAGTCAAATTGGGTTTGAACCCATTCCTGGTGAATTTTGGACAGCCTCCGTTTGTACACTGCATACTATTGTGCTTTTGAAACAATGGTTTTCATATACACAGCAATAGCAAAAGCAGCACTCTTCTAATTTTTAGAGCCGTGACTCCTTCCCAGCAACAGTTACCTACTCATTGTCCTTATCTAATTTTCCCACCTTTTATTGGTTTGTTTTTTTTTGGTGAATTTGAGAGTTGTTTAGTCAGCAGGCTTATGTACTGTTCCGAAACTTATTGAGAAGCAATAGTTGCCAGGCTGTTTTGGTTTTTCAGTCTAGCTGCAATGCAGCGTGTGCTGTTCCTCCAACCGCCAGATAGCTGCTGACTGAGTTTGGACAACAAGTTCAATCCGCTGAACCTGGTAGCTGCATCTCCTTTCAGTGTTTTAGTCATCGGGAGTAGTAGGATTTCGGTGGCTGCAATCTACCAGGAAAACATCAGTTGTAGCTAGGCCAATATTATCTATGCACTCCATAGCTTGTGTAACAAATTTTTACTATTCTGGAATTCGAATATAGGTATCTTATTTGCATTTGCTTTTTTCAGTTCCTAATACCCCATGACTCTAGACAAAGGAAGTTATCAGTCATGGTTGATCCTATCCGTTTTACCTTGAATCGTTGCATCCATTGTAAAATGCTTATCTACTTTTACCTGTTTAAAACTGAAAGCTGAGTGCTGATCAGGTACTTCTTTGCATCCATCTAGAATCCACTGTTCTCTATTTTCATACATAAAAATAAATGTATTGTCTTGATCTCCTGCTTGTTTCAAAGTTCTGCTATACACATATTAGAGGTTCATACTATGATAGTATAAGTCTTGAATTTCCATCGGTAGTTCTACATTTGCCTACCACATTAACAAGCAATTTATCCATTGCAAGCTTGGGATCAAAAGAACAAAATCAATGATGCTTTGTACATTCATTAAAATATTGTGTTTCTTGTGCTTACTCACACTTAAATTTGAAGGTCCCTCTTCATGACACTGGTTAACTGCTAATGTCGATTTATTGTACAGAGTATTGCTTCATCTGGTTGATCTGCTATTTTTTAATGCCTCTTCTGAGAAAATTACATTTTAAGTTTACATAAGCTAGCCTTGTATCTTGCTTCCAGTAATTTGTTAACATGGTGGTACACTCTATTTTTTCAGAGAAACAAGAGGCAGTGAGGAAGCTGATGGAGACCTCAGGTATCTATGAATCTTTTTCTAGATCTCTGAATGTCTTCCTCCTAATGCTACAGCTGTCATATCCTCCATTGATTATTATATGCCTTTAATACGTTGGGGCTAAAGAGAATTCAGGGTGTAGTTTTTTAGAGCAAGGTGGTGCTGGAGGTTTTGTCGGTATCAAATTGAAAAATCCTGAAATGAAACGTGTGTGTGCTTCTATGGAATAATTGCATTATGGTTCTACCTCTGCTTTCTATTAGGTAACTAAAGGTACCTGTACAGATCAAAAGCGGTATGCATTTCCATCAATTTTGTACCATTAAATGGTGCATTAACAACTGTGTTCCCTGGACTAAATATAGTGGCCTGATCCTATTCATGGCTGCTGATATGCAGGTTCTTTCCCTTATCAGGATCTCAGGTT